TGATGTTTAGGTAGGTGAATTTGTTTTATTAGTGTTTCTTCACTTCTTCTGAAGGCTGTAAACACCATTTGTCATGAGTGTTGGTTTATTCTTATCTAAATTGGTAGTTCAGACATTTTCTTTGTTTTTGGTGGATTCAAATTGCACACAAGCAAAGAGTAACCTGGATTTTGTAACATTTCAAGAACGGGCAGAGACTGCTCTGAATATTCTCAGAAACTCTCTTCTCAGGCTTATCTTCAGGGGGCAATGAGACACTGGAGTCTCTCCTCCTCCACACAAATCCCCTATTAAGGTATCTGTCCAATTATGCAGTAAAGACAGTAAAACTCCTGCAATAAGAGAAGAAAACAATGATGTTATTTTATTGACTTTTCAGTAAGTAAACATAAAATCTTTTGAAATGTTGGGTGAGATTTGCCTGAAAAAATTATTTTAAAATGAAACGAGTTTCTACTTTGCTGCAGAAAGAGCGTGCAGAGGAGATACGTTCTGCACTGGAATAAACCTTAATACAGCTATGCCTAGTGCCAGGAAAGGTGACCCCTCCTTAACTGCTTGTGTAATAGGTTGTAAATTATATTTCATTTATAATACAACAGCATTTTAATTTCCCTTTTGGGAAATATAAAAAAAAGTATTTAGGTACTATTCTATTTGTTTTTAGTTTCAGAAAGTAATTCATGCTACCAGCATTTCCCTAAGCCTACACTTAAGCAGCACAGACACAGTGTCAGTTTAAATGCTCTCGTTTATTGATTGTAATGCACTGCCAAGTCAATTTATAATTCCCAAAACTATTGACTGATGCATTTTTTCTTCACTGGAGGAATAATTTCAGTTCTTCTATACGCACAGCTTTCATATCTACAGAGGCCTGTTAAACAAGTCAGAGAAAGCTCCACTGCCAAATAAATACAGTTACAGCTGACTTTTCAATTACCAAACAATTGTTCTAAACAAGAAATGTGACAATTTCATAACAGCTGCAAGGAGTAGCAAAAAACAAATCAACTTAGTTCATAAGCAGAGTGATGATTATTAGATTAGCATCGGCAAATAAAAAGGTAATACATTCATCCAAACTTGACCTAAAGAGAAACTTTCTTCATAAGCCCAGAAGCAAGCGATGCACAGGACAGTAACATTTTAACATGTAAGGTACATGCATGACTTTGTAAATGAAATTGTAAGGTCAATAAATTGACTTCATGTTTCATGATTCACAAGGTGTTTTCTGAGTAGGTATTCTGCAGTTGAATGCTGCACACTGAAATAATATCGGCTTGCCTGACAGATAAACCTGATTTGCGACCCTGGAGTGAAACTCAAAACTATTGACTGAAACTGAAAATATTGTCACATTTGCAGATAATTAAGTCTTAATACTTGGGGAGAAACCATAGGGGTGGATGTAGATCAGACGTCTCACTGTGATTTGTTAATAAAATACCACTTTCAGTTGCAGCCCTTAAAACTAAGTCTGCATAATATTTATTTCATTACAGTCATACATCAAAATGTTTTAAAGCTTTTTCTTTTTCTCAGAGCTATGTATATTTGATGAAGCTTGGCCAAAGTTAGTTTCATAATGGCTTCAATTGTGTTAGTGGGGGTAAGGGGCTGACGATGCATTTAAAATCAGCATTTGTCTTTGTACTTGCTTGTAATATTTTATTATTATGCGGCATAATGTCCACTTAAAGAAACCTTAAAACAAATGTTTTAAGGTTTCCAGTATCAGCTTTGTTCCCAACCTGTTTGAATAAAATAAAAGTCTAACAATCTTTCTCCATATGTCCTCTGGATGCTGGATAACACTGAAGTATACTTAACGCAACAAGTTTGTGGCCCTGCAGTTTCTCTTTCAGTGTCAAAAGATTACAATCTCTGCACTGAGACACAATGAAGAAGGCGTTCTCCTTTTGTCTACTTGCAGAAAGGAATGGACCAAGGTTGAACTGGGTACTGAGGAGAAACTGATTTGGGAGCACACCTTTGGATAGGACATTTGTCCATCAGTCACTACAGCTCAGTCTTTCTTATTTATTTTTACATGGTAAGTAGCCTGAATTTGTAAAGTGCTTTATTAAGTTCAAGGAATCCAAAGCGGTTTACACAAAGATTAGTCATTCACCCATTGGTACACACATGGGTGTGTACCCATGTACAATTTCTCCTCTCTCCCTGTTTAAATCATAACTTTGACTTCCCGCTGGTATAGTACAAACGGTGCCAGCTACATTGTAGCTTACTGCCATATTGGCTGTAGTAAGCTACCCTGGTGCAGACTGATAAAAGAAAAACTGACATAAAATCGTTGCTTCCACCAGGATTTACAAGTGTCTTGCCCAAGGACACATCCATGGAGACGGATGGAGCAAGGGTTCGAACCAGCAACTCACATATACAGGACAAACTCCTTTTGCCCTCACTACATTTAACCAGTGAACCAACAAGGAGTTCCCTTGTTATTTGACTACCTAAATCAGACTGTATTATTTGCCATCTAAAAAAACCTGGAGTGTTTAGGAAGGTGAAAACTTTACATAAATTGTTAACTAAATTCTGATGAGGCTCGTTTGTCAGATCAAACGTATCTTTTTAAATACCAACTATTAAACATATCTTACATTAAGCCTACATTTCTGTCTTTAACTGAAGTGAAGGCTTGAACACTGTGTGAATATCTTTATGTAATTAATCTATGTAACATGTTTGACTTATTGAAAGAAATTAACTTTTCCATAATTTACTAACTGTTTCAGTTTGACCAGATCAGTTTGTTTCTCAGACACACACATTTGCAGTGTGCAGCGTTTCAATCCCAACTCAAAGTTCTAAAAGAAAGAAACAAATTTAATTGGTTGTCCTTTCAAGGATCTACGCAACATTGAGCACAAAATGCCAATTACTTTACAAACCGTATCAGTGTGCTCGAATGTGACCCTTTTTGGACATGAACATTAAAAATGCTGAGCTGCAAAAAACCTATAACTACCAACACAATGATTAATGAGTTGTGTCTTTAAACATAAGACACATGTCAGGTGTTGGGTGTTTCTTTTGGCATTTGGTATCTTCTTGCTTCTCTTCTTTTTCTGCAAGCAAATTATTTCATGCTTATGTACCTGACAAAACATAATCATGACATGTTTTGTCAGTGGGGGCAACCTTTTTGTTGAAAGTATCTTCTTTAAGTACACAGATTATGTGAGTTTCTTTCTTTTTATCTGCACTGCAAGTAAAAACAAGCAGCCTTTAATTAAGCAAAGTAAAAAGAAAAGTATGTTGCTAAGAGCTTCTTGATTTTCAGGATGTTTGTGACCCTCCTTACTGTGATAACACTGAAGCCCAAACACCATTTTAATTTATGAAAATATATATATTTGCTGATAGCTCAAATTTGCAACTTTTGTGAACTGCAGCCATAAAAGCCATTTTCTCCTCTCTCCCTGTTTAAATCATAACAACTTTAAGTGACTTCCTGCTGGTATATTATAAACGGTGCCATCTAATCCCATTTTCTTGGGGCAAGCAAAAATATTTTCAACAGCTGGTTAAAATGTGAGTTGGTAAAGCAAGCATGAAATGGGCCCTTGGCATCTGCATTCACACTTGGCTGGAACACAGGTTGGCCACAGAAGTGGGGTATAAAACAAGAAAAACTACAAATATACGAAAAGGTGAAATGACCAATGAAAAACGAAACAAAAGCTCTTGAACATACTGTATACAGTATGCTGTATGGGCCCCCCACCCGTCTGAGGGACATGAGCATCGGCTCAGCTCGCTTTGCTACTGGCCGGCTCTTCACATGTTATCAAGAAAACAAATAGAAATCTGACCTAATTATAATCTGCTTGCTCATGGCAATAATAGTAACAGACTACTTCAAGCCAGTCTCGAATGTTCACTCACTGTAAAAATAATTAATAGTCTAATCAAAATAGTTGACCATTCATTACTGCAAGCCATAAACTGCAAGTGTTGTGACATCTCATGACGTCCCAGTAAATTACAGTGTAAAACAGCCTCATTCTGTTTCAAGAAAAGTCTGTGAGTTGAATGTAAAATCGAAAGGCAGCTCGTTTGTTCGTATCCAAACCTGCAACACAAACACACACACACACACACACACACACACACACACACACACACACACACACACACACACACACACACACACACACACACACACACACACACACACACACACACACGTGTATATATATATACATATATATATGTGTGTGTATATATGTATATATGTGTGTGTGTGTGATAATTACTGACGCATAAACTTGAAAGGGAATATTATCTCTGGGAATCGTCCAGCTGTGCACATCTGAAAAATTAATGATGCCATGAATTATTGTACATCACATCCAGTTTTATGAGCACCTCCCTTATGACATTTGTTATCTGTAGAATAGTATCATTCAATTCGAAACTCCTGACAGCAGACAAATTGCTGGGTTTTTCTCTCTGCTGCAAAATCTTGCTGTGGACAAACAGCTGACCTGCTGTTTGGTTTCCTGTGTGATGCTGCTTTTCACCCCCTTCTGAAAATGCTCCTCTTTTTCTCCTCAGCAGGTTTAGGTTACCTGCATCTGTAAGTCTTTTGAGCTGGGATTTGGTAGGTCTAATTCAATTTGTCCCCAGACAACTGCACCAATTACGGACACATCATAAAACCAGGCTGTGCTGTACCAAAAATACCTTTGCAGCAGGTTTTCGTGGGCAGCAGCAGCCAGGGATGCTTTCCTTAAAGCGTAATACTCCTGTCCTACAATACACAGAAAGATGCAGGTTGCTTGTTGTCTGCCGCTGCATTCGTCCTGGCATTGCTGAGATGGGTGTGGGTTGTTTTGTGTGTGTGTGATCTGTTGTGAATGAGTGAGGCAGCAGAGCAGCTGAGTGAGACTAACAAGTGGTTGCCATGCAGCAGGAGCAAGCGTGCGTGCTTCTAGAGGGAGAGATAGAGAAACAGAATGATAATGAGCAGGAGGCAGCAGCAAGCGCTAGGACAGGAGCCGCATCTCTCAGGAGAAACGCGTAGAACGGATTGATCCAGCCCCACGCCTCTGCTCCTCTGTCTTCTCCTTTTTTTTCTTTACCCTCAGCTTTTTTTAAATTCATTTATTTATTTATTTTTTGCTCAGATGTGAGCTGCTAGCCTGGCGCATCCAGCATGCCAGCAATGGGTGGATTAACTGATACACGTCTGAGAGCTCCAAGGAGGAGGAGGAAGAGTTGCTTGCAGGAATCGGCAGCAACAGGTCTGTAAGGATGGCATGGAAATGATGGTGAGGCATCTGCATTTTCTTCCTCAGACATCCTAACTAGAGAATCTGTCAATGCAGTGCTTCTCTTTCACCCTTTCCCCACTCCCGACTTGTGCAGTGTCCTCCTCCTCCTCCTTCTCCTCATACCACTTCCTTCCCCCCCTCTCATCTCTTTGTGTGTATTTCCTAGCCAATCCACCCCACCTCCCATTATAACTTCACCCACCTGCTGCTTGCCATAGAAGCAAATTTGACTGATGGAGGCAGACAGTCCACTGGTGTGACTGAGCCAGTTTTGTGATTATGTGTGGTCAATTACAGTCACTCTCTTCTCACTGCCTTACAGAATTACACTGTCTAGTAGGCATCTTGCTCACACGCAACAGGTAGAGATGCGATCCTCCACAGCCAAACAGATGCAGGGCTGCATCTTCATGAGAGGTGACGCTTTTTGTTGTTGTTGCTGTTTTTTTAAATTCGCACATCGGCTCTGTTTGTGTTTTAACGGCTGGCTGTGCACTGCGACACACTGTCATTCTAACCTGACCTGAAGGAATGCATATAGCCACACAACCTTGGCTCATTTTCCTGCACCCAGTTCGCAGGAAGTCTTTATCGCAGCACCTCTGTGCTTGCTGCTTGCAGCTTTCTGCAGAGAAATCCCCAAAGGGGCAGAGCTGGACAGATCTCTGGACATCTGCTTGATGTCTAAATCAGAAGAAGCTATTTAAAGATACCTGTAGTGCTTCATGTTTTATTCAGATCTGCATTTAAATAAGAAAGTTCTGCCTGCCTCTCACCACGTCAGCACTCTTATTCCTCCTCATGTTGTCAGTGCTAATTGTGAGTTATGAGGTGCATTACACAGATCTCCCCCAGACAAGAGGCAAAACAGGACTAATCCGAGTAAATCCTTTAACCCCTGTTCAGGTGACATGCAGGCTTCGAAACGCCTGATCCCATCTGTGAAGAGATGAGGCACCTAGACGTGGGCTTACCATGAGCAGCGTCCACTTCAACCACTCCCTTGCTGCCATGAGTGGAAACGACATAATGGCGCACTCTCTGACTCTGGAGCAGAAGACGGCATTTGCCTTCGTGGGGATGCTGCTGGTGTTCTTGGGACTGCTGATAATACGCTGCTTCAGGATCCTGCTGGACCCCTACAGCAGCATGCCCTCCTCCAACTGGGCCGATGGCATCGAGGGGCTGGAGAAAGGGACGTTCGAGTACGCCCTCACCTAACGATGGGACAAGAATACACACAAATTACGAGAAAAGATGCCCAAGCCTACACAACCACCGCTCCCGACACTCCCATTAAGACACCCCCAAGTGATGAACCAAGCTCAAGCTGCGAAGCTGTTGTGTGATGTGCGTGAATTGCTCGGTGAGAGAGCCTTTACTGTATATGAATATATGCAAACAGTGTGTGTGTCTGACTGGATGTGAGGCAGATGCTGTGTCACATTGGGTGACCTTCTGCCAGAGGGCGTGTATTTTAGCTCATCAATTGACACAGAACTTGGCTGTAGCTCCCTTTAACCCACACCAACAAGCTGAATGTCATGACGAGGTGGATTTCTGTGGAACAGGGTGGGAGACTGAAGACTCAGGGACAAGACGCCTATCTCGAACTTAGAACAGAAGACAGCGCGGTTGCACTTCTGCACAAGTGGAACAGTTCAGCACAAGACTGCACCTGGATGGATACAGGGTATTATGTCATTCTAGTGCTTTGTGAGTTATTCAAACCCAGTTTGTCGGGAATCTAAAGGAAGCAGCCACTTTTTGTTGGATCAGTCGTTTTTCTGGTGTCTTGCTTCCTGACGTCCTGCGGCAAATAAGCAAACTGTGACCTACATTGTGGTATTCCTGTTTCTAAATAGTGCAAAATGAGCTCAGATTGTACCGCTCCTGCGTCAGAGCGATGGTGAAGTAAAAGTGGCCAAAGTTATATGGACTGATTGATGAGCATAAGACAAGAGACTTTTTTTTTTTTTTTTCCACTCTCAGCACTGTTGTTCCAGATCACTGGGAGGAACTCACTCAGCAGAGGTGTCATATAAAACAAGGATGGGATGTTTGTCAGATCCACACTTGACCATATTTTCAGACCATCCCAAAACTCCCTCTGATCCAATCTCTTCCTTCCACTTGGAGGAAGACGGAGCGGTCCGGTAAACAGACCGTTTAGAGTCTGGACTGTTCCGTTGATAATTTTTACAGTCTACTGTTTCTCCTTAGTGCTGTGAATCTGCCTTACTGTGACCTTCAATGGGTTTATGTGCCTTCATCTAGAAACATTAGAGCACCTGTTTGTGGGTGTGTGGGTGTGTGTCTGTGAGTGAGTGTCACATCATAATGACAGGCCAGTTGCTTGCTCCGCTGGTGATAGAGATTTTGCATTGATTTCATTTGATTTGATGATGTGAAATAAAAAGGATTTATTCACTTTAAATGTTGCAACTCAGTGTTTTTGCTTTTTGGGTGATTAATGAACATGTTTACTAGCATATCCTACCATGGATGTATGAAAAGCTTTTTTAAAAATCTGATTTTGCTGCAGTAGCATGTTCTCATATAGAAAATGTAAAGAAAATCACACAATTTAAGAAGGAAGGAATCTATAACATGAAGAAATAGCTATTTTTATCATTAGTGCTACATAATTGTCACGTTTGCTGCAGATACTTTATATTTCCCCTTTTTCCTGTTGGACATCACATCATCTTCTTCTATGTTACTGAAAAAATTGCTTGATTTACATTTATTCAAAAAGGATACCAATAATTGTGCGACAGAATCGTATTTCTTTCAGAAATTTATTTTCTTTAATCCTTTGAACAAATGCCTTGAAACTAAAGGCAGGTTTCTCCAACAGGTCTTAATATGAGATTATATGAGATTATCCTATTTAAGTAAAACCTGAATCTCTACCAGAGCTGCCAATTAATGCAGCAAGCACTTTATAATTCGTGGTGTGACGGTGACCCGTTCTACATCAAAGTTTCACATTAGGGATTTAAATATTTGTCCAATAAGGAGAGAGTGAAAAAATATTTAGTTTTCGTAATAATCTTCATGAGGCTACAAGCTCAAACACAATAAATGTGAATTCTGTGTAAAACATACGGATCCTGTGGAAGAAAGCTGAGAGGGAGTCACTCAGGTCTTCATCTATCTGCAATAGGACTCATCATGGGCTCGTCCCATGCACTCCTCTCGCATCATTAGTCAGGAATGCAATTGTTATTGCACCATTGTGTATATCACTCATGTGACATTCTTATCTTTAAATATTTGCAGCAAGATAAAAACTGTTTTTTTTCCTCTACTGCAGCAAGCCTGAATGAATGAAACAAGAATTACTGAGCCATAAATTTCTTCCTCCTACATTTTCTTGTTTCATTTTAATTAAGTTGGAAACTTCTTCCAAAAGGGAAATGAAATATCCATGTTCTTTGAGATCCAATGCCGGTGAGAGGAAATGACAAAGTGAGTCGCTGAATTACTATCAGAAACATTTTTGTAGAAAAATCTTTGTGGCTTTTATGTTGGTTGGACAAAACCAAACTTTCATTTTAATACAAATCTCCTTTTAAAGATTTATTGCACTTTCCTTCATCACAACACATTTATTGGATTGTTTTAGTTACAATTTACTCTGAAGATAAAGTCTTAATACCATATAAAGGACTCTTAAAACTAAAGCGAGGCACGGTTAAACTTTAACCTAGGTTTTTTTTTTCAAGCTTTTTGGCTTTTTACCCTGCATAGTTCAGGGACACAATTAAAAAGTCTGAGCTATAAAATGCTCTGCTAAATTTAGACTTTTCTCCTGTCTGAAGTTCTCGCAGGATTTTCCAAGAATAAAAAAATCTAACTGATCAATCAGACTTCTGTTAGAGATGACAGAAATCTGAGATGCACTTTACCTTACTGTCTGTAGACATGCATAGGTATAGAAATAACACACTGACTGAGATCATGTGGATGTGTAACGATTACTAACAGTGATTCATAGGGATATAAAATAGGATTTCCATGAAGTCCTCAAACACTTTGAGAGTGGAGTTGTTTTAAGATAGCAATCTGCTCCGCTCTGACCATCGATTGGTCGCAAGGTATTTGTTTTTTTCTCCAAAACTCAGCTAGTTACTTACTGCAGGTAAGATAATGATTCCTATGACCTTCTCCTTAAAATCTGACAGAAAAAAATGCTCATGCTGACCTTTAGAAATGAAACTATGAAGTTTAATGTTGCTAATCCATTAGAATCTGTGATTCTTTTACAATTGAATATCACAGATTGATTAAATATATTTTATTTTAAAAAAATTTCTTAATTTCATTTGCAGGTAGACATTAAATTAATGACCAAAAATCTACCTTTGTTCTACAGTAACTAAAACCATAAATGATCTGTTTTCTTTTATTGACTGAGTTCAAAGCTTCCAGAATGAAACAATAGCATTTTTAGTCTCTCTCACTGTTCAACACAGAGCAATTAATTGCTATAATCCAACTCTTCTGAACTTTTGTTTATCTTTCTGCTTATTTATTTCTTATTTCTACTTTGTATTGCTGTGCGAAAAATAATTAATTTTCTGTAAGAGCTCATGAGAGCTTCTTGTTTCATAGAGCAGGTTGATGAGGTGGCAGAGTAATGGACCTTAACTTTGCTGATTATCAGGCATTAGCTTTATTACTTGTGGTCTTAGAACCTCACAGGTTTTGTCCTTGATGGGTTTTGTGATACGGCCAGCTGATATAATAGATATTGTATTACTTTAGTCATCAAAAGTTATGTGATTCATCTATTTATAGACTTACCACGGCAATTTAAAAAAATAGGTATTTTGCTTGAGCAGATTAGTACGGTAGTCAATTGCTAAACCTTATCAGGATTTGTTTTGTTTTGTCCAATCAGATAACAAGCTACTGGTTGCTAGGTGAAAGGACCTAGTGAGACAAGTTGAAATCTTAAATCAATCGAGACTTTGCTCAATCTGATTTATAAACTCAACCCCTCCAGTCGCCTCTGGAGTCCTGTGAGGATAGATACATAAATGCTTACCAACTTTGACATATTTTCATGTTTTATAATAGGCATTAATGATTAGAAAACTGTTAAGTTTAATTATTTACTTTAAATCGATTCAAAGCTACACTTTTCCTTGAGCTAATACATACTCTTCTTGGATTTTCTGCTATGTGGCTTTTGGCCATTACCTTAAATGAATATTAACTTTTCATTGAAGACCTTAGAGTGAGCAATTTCAGAGAGTTTATTAGTATTAATACGTATACGAAGCTTTAAAATGACACCAGATTCTTTTTGAAGATGTGTGCGTCTCTATGTGAGGTGCATAGCTGAAGGGTTTGTGTTATTTGTTTTTCTCCTCTGACATGCACTGGGCAACAACAGCAAACAGAAAAGTGATGGCATTTTACAAAATCTTTAAACCTTTGTAGTCTTTTCCGTCTGTTATCTTCTGCTTATCTGGGGTTGGGTTGCGAGGGGAACGACGTAACTAGGGATCCCTAGATATTAAATTATAGCCACTTGGGCCAGCTCTTCAGGAACAATCCTGAGGTGTTCCCAGGCCAGCCAAGAAACGTAGTCCCTCCAGCGTGTCCTGGGTCGTCCTCTAAGTCTCCTCTTGGTGGACGTGTCCAAATCACTTCATCCAAACCAGATGCCCAGGTCGCCTCAAACTGGCTCCTCTCAGTGTGGAGAAGCAGTGACTCTACACTGAGTCCTTCCTGAGTGACCGAGCTTCTCACCTTTTCTCTAAGAGAGCCCAGACACCCTGTGGAGGACAGTCATTAACTCATTTCAGCTGCTTGTATAATCAGTCTTGTTCTTCTGGTTACTTCCTAAAGCTCATGACTATAGTTGAGGGTACGAATGTAGATCAACCAGTAAATCGAGCTACCTCTTCACCACGACAGAGTGGTGCAGTCACCAAGGTCACCAACATGGATCTCTTCAACATCTTGAGTGGATCTAGAAATTTTGTCCATGAAGATTATGAAGACAATTAATGACAAACGGCAACCTTGTTGGAGTCCAATTCTCACTGGAAATGAGCCCGACTTATTGTTACAAATACGAACCAAACTCTGACACCAGTCAACTCTTTCTATATGAGGAGTAGCCTGACATGTACTAAGATAATTTGCCCTATGAAAGATGTCATACCATTTGAACTTTTTCACATTTTGCCACAATACAACCAGACATTATTGTATTGGTTGAGATTTTATGCGACAGACCAAGAGAGAGTAACTCTTAATTGTGATCTAGGTGAGTTGGAAAACTAACACGCATTGCTCTTGAGGCAACATCGTCAT